CTGAAGAGGCTGAAAATCTCAGAGCTCAGGTCACTTCCGCAAGGCTTATGGAGATAGATCCTCAAGAAATGACTTACAGACTCACAAAAAGCACAGACTCAGTGTCCTTGGAGGTTTAGAACCATCTCGAAGTCAAGCACCACCCTTCCAAGAGGAAACAGGAAGAAGGATACTACTAAAAAGTGATCATACCTCCTTTCTTATGTACATAACCTCCAGATTGTTCACCCTAAGTCCACACAGACGCCTCTTCTCCTCGGCAGACCTGAGCTACAGTCAGAAGATATCCAGGTGAGTGATGTGGCTCTTGCAAAAAATATTAAGTCTGTGTTGGTAAGGCATGGAAGGAAGGGGATGTTACCAACATCCTTTCTTTGGATTTTAGAGTTGAGAACTGTGCCTTGGGCTTGTGGTTACACCATGGTTTATTATGTTCTCTGTTGCTATTAAAAAAATACCTTAAAAGGTGTGGTTTATAAAGAAAATAAGCTAAGTTAGGTTTATGGATCTAGAGGCTGCAGAGTCCAAGATCTAGCAGCCACACTGGTAAGGGTCTTGTGATTTCACCTCATATCAGAAAGAGGGAAGTACACACTAGCCCATGCGGGAGAAAAGTATGAGGAGAAGCCTCACTTTATGCAAGCCCATCATCTTGGGAGTCATCCCAATCCTAGAAAGAATCCTTCATTCCTGCAAGAATGAACTGGGTTCCTAGAAAAAGGCATAAATCCCTCTTGAAGACCCAGTCATCTATTAAGGGCCTACCACTTCTCAATAGTATTACATTAGTAATCAATTTCAACATAAGCTCTGAGGGGGAAAAACATAATCAAACCCTAGCACACAGAAAGATGGTGTGGTCTTGGGCCCACATATTAGTGAAAGGTGTAAGTGTTGGACTTGGGCTCAGCTGGTAAAATGTGTGGCTAGCTTGTGTGAATCTCCCAGTTTGATCTTCAGCACTGCAAAAATTGGGTGTAGTGGTACATGTCTGTAATGTCAGGTCTCAGGAAGTGAAGGCGGGAGATCAGAAGTTGAAGGCTATGATCAGTTAGAGAGTTGAAGCCAGTCTGGGTTAGAGAGCTAGCTTTTATTTAAAAAAAAAAGGAAAGTAGAGAGAGAGAGAGAGAGAGAGAGAGAGAGAGAGAGAGAGAGAGAGAGAGAGAGAGAGAGAGAGGTGGTGCCAATATGGAAGTCAGAAGACAGCTCCTGGGAGTCAATTCTCTCCTTCCACCATGTGGGTTCTGGGTACCACACACAGGTTGCCAGGCCTAATGGCAAGCACCTTAACTCACTGAGCCATCTTGCCCATCCTGCTGACTAAATTTTGAATAGGGATTTGTGCTAGGTCCTTAACACAAATCTCTACACATGTCCTTTCATCCAAGGTACCTGCTCCTCATCCCTCACTTACAGATGCTGAAGATAGCAGATTCCATAGAACATCTACCCTGTGCATGGCCTCCTGTCCCCTATCATTAGGTGGGTGACAGTATGTTTCTGTCTCCCAGTTCTGGACTGGTTCTACCACACCTAGAATTTCTGATAAGATCTCCTACAACTCGAGAAGCCAAACACCATCCTTCCACTTTCGAGCAAAACCAGTAGAGGAATTTTTAAAGCTCTTTGAATACTTAGCTTTACTTCTGAAATGATGCTGAGTGTGATGAGTATTCCTTTTAAAATTTATTTATTGAAACTATCCATTTATGGGCTGGAGAGGTGGTTCAGCAGTTAAGAGGCCCCGGGTTCAATTTCCAGCACCCACATGGCAGTTCCCAATTGTCTGTAATTTAAAGATCTGACACTCTCACACAGACATACATGCAGGCAAAACACCAATGCACATAAGAGAAAAATAAATACATTATTTTAAAAATGAAAGAAATTATCCATTTCTTTTTCCTAGTAAATGTTTCTTTGCCTATGTCTCTGGCTACCTCAATAAAAGACAAAATAATCCATGTGCTCATCAGAGCATTGGCTAATCTGCAGCTACACAAAGAGTACACAGAGGGTAGTGTGCTTACACCTGTTCTTTCTGAAACTTGCATGGGGTAAGCAGGTCTTTTAACTATCTGAAAGCCAGTCACCTTCTAGAGCTGTCAGGCTGAGCTAGTGCTGAAACTGAAGCACCTTGCCTAGCCTTCTTGCTTCTCAAAAGAACAAAGCTCTCCTCTCATTCACTCTTCAACAATCTTGATAGCTAGAACGGTGCCATGCACTTAGGCTGTGCAGTCAAGCAGGGAAGCCTCTCAGTGCTGTACGGATAGCAAAGCAACTCAAAATAGTAAAAAGCATGTACTACAGCAGTGGTTCTCAACCTTCTTAATATGGTGACCCTTTAATACAGTTCTTCACGTTGTGGGGACCACCAACTATAAAATTATATCATTACTACTTTGTAACTGTGATTTTGCTACTGTTATGAATCATAATTCAAATATTTTTAGAGATGGGGGTTTGACAAAGGTTTGAGACCCACAGGTTGAGAAGCACAGTTATAAAGGATTTACTAATAGATTTATTTAGGAGACATTAGGTCACACAAGGGGAATTTAGGTTAAGGAGCACCACCTCCAAAATACCCCAAAGGGAATAGTCTGCTAACCAGGCCTGTTAGAGATAAGCAAAACTTAGGATGCTAGGATGCACCTGTTTATTCAACTACCACTAGGCTCCATGCCCATAACAAAGAAATAGCCATGACTTACAACCAGCCATTTTGCCCATCCCCAAAGTCATACATCTAAGGGCAGCTCAAGAGGGGCAGCACAGAGTCACAACCATCATTAAGTCTAGTCTGCCCTAAGTCCCCTGTGCTCTTATCAGGAAAGACATAATTCTGCCCAGTTGAGCAAGATCCTGGATAACAACTCTTAGAGCAACACAGGTATAGTTAAGAAATAACTGGCAGCAGCTTTGCTGTGTAAACCTCCTATCTGTCTAAACAGCCAGACTTGCAGTCTCCTGTCTCTGAGTAAGTTCTTCAAAGTGTTCAAAGTCCTGAGGCCAAGACAAGATTTATAGATGACAATGTTTGGAGAATACCTAAGCCTACAGTGTATATATCTTCTGTTCAAACCTAACTCCTATTTGGGCCTTAGCCCCAGCCAGCTAGGCACTTTAGCAAAGAGTTTCCCTTCATCTCTAAGTGTGTGGAGTGATCTCTCACTGGGAAGGCATGTTATTCCTACAACAATACCTGTTCACAATTGGACTTCAAAAGGAACCAGAGCCACGCTTTGCGTCTAAAGATCCTGTACCCTGTGCTTTCTGTGAACAAATTTCTGTGCTCAGAATGAAGGCAGAAACTTTGTCACCTGGCTTCTTTTAGTAAATGAGTATTGGAAATCAGCAAAACCAGGGAGAAGAAAAATGGCAGTTTGCAGGAAACGAACTGTTGCAGAATAAAAATCGCAAGTCAGAGTCACATTTTTGTTTCTTGTTTTTTTTTTTTTTGGTTTTTTTTTTTTTTTTGGTTTTTCGAGACAGGGTTTCTCTGTGCAGCTTTGCGCCTTTCCTGGGATTCACTTGGTAGCCCAGGCTGGCCTCGAACTCACAGAGATCCGCCTGGCTCTGCCTCCCGAGTGCTGGGATTAAAGGCGTGCGCCACCACCGCCCGGCTTGTTTCTTATTTTTTTAAATAGAGTCTTTATAGAGGAAAGAATGAAATATAAAGCTGAAATGTCATGGCAAGGCAGATCCCAGATTTCCATTTCCAGGCTAAAGGGAGGGTTCCAATTTTCCCAGGAGTGAGGTGCCTCCTCTGGTTGCATTTCTCTTGGGCTAACAAAGACCCTGACAAATAGTCACTTAGAGGTGGAAGGATTTATTTTATTCACAATTTCAGGTACAGTCCATAATTCCAGAGGATTCACAGGGGTAGGAGCTTAAAGATGTCATACCACATCCCTAGTCATGAATATAGAGAAATGAATACATCATGCCTACCACTTGCTAGATGAGGGCCCAGCTAGCTTCATTTGTTCTTACACAGTCCAGGACCCAACACAGGAAGTGGTGCCTCCTTGGTTCTTCCCACCTCATTTAACAATCACGACAATCAATTCCCAAGCAAGACAACCGCTCCAAGACATGCTCACAAGCCAACTCAATCTGGATAACTCCTGATTTCTTTTTCAGGTGGGTGTAGGCTGTGCCAACTTGACAGTAAAAACTAACCACCAGTGAGGGCTCCTCACCAGGAAAGCGCATGGGATAACTGGTGTAGTCCAAGCCTGAAATCTTAAGATCCTGGAACAGGCTAGAGGCACCAGTAGTGGAAAGAGGTGGAATTGATACATTGCAGAGTTTGATGGTGGGGTGTTGGATGGAGAAAGGAAGTGGGTAAATGTGATTCTAAAAATTTGCTGCTTCCCATCATTCTGAGCAACTGGGGAGAATGATAAACATCCAGGAGTCGGCTTTTGACAGATGCATTGCCCGTCTCCAAACAAATCAACCTTTGCATCAAACTTCTCAAGGTTGATAGCATCTTCCTTACACGGAAAGAAATAAGTTCAAATGTTTGCTCTTCTGGCAAAGTAAATATGAGCTCAGTTCCTCACAAATAAGAATTGGAGCTGATAACTGTAATCTGCTTAGCAAAATAAAGGATTTATGTGCATTGAAGAGTTCTGGGCTGGGGTAAGCCATGGGGATCTTATAAATGAAAACTAATTACAGGGTCTGGTGGGTAGCATAGAGCTAGAAGAGAGGTGAGCTAAGACAATGGAAGAGAGCCACGGGGAACATCTGGGTGAAAGTGAGGAAAGATATAGCAAGAAATAACTGAGTGATGAAAATACATCCTAAGAGTGAAGCTCCTCAGAGGAAATGAAAGGAGAGTTAAGTACTCTAATTTCTTCTTATGCTTGAGTACAGGCTTTCTTGTGCAAGACACTGTAAAAGAACATTTATTGCTTTCATTCATTTAGTGCCTGTTCATTCATTCACTATCCTGAGTCTCTGTGTCCTCTGCAGCAGCTGGAAGAACCATGGCAACAACTCCTGATGCTGCTTTTGAGACCCTCATGAATGGAGTGACCAGCTGGGATCTTCCTAAAGAATTCATTCCTAGTGAACTCCTTCTTACTGGGGAGGCCGCCTTCCCAGTGATGGTGAACGACAAGGGCCAGGTGCTCATTGCTGCCTCTTCCTATGGCCAAGGCCGCCTGGTTGTCATATCCCATGAGGGCTACTTGTTGCATGCTGGCTTTACCCCATTTCTTCTCAATGCAGTGAGCTGGCTCTGCCCCTCCCCAGGAGCTCCCATTGTAGTGCATCCCTCCTTGGCATCACTAGTAAACATCCTAGGTGACTCTGGCATAGAGGCGCTGGCTCAGCCTGAACCTGGAGAGACTCTGGGTGTTTACTGCACGGATGCCTACAATGACAGTTTGACTGAGAAGCTGGTCCAGTTTGTGAAGCATGGTGGGGGCTTGCTCATTGGAGGCCAGGCCTGGTACTGGGCTGACCAAAATGGACATGATAAAGTGCTCTCCATTTTTCCTGGAAACCAGGTGACAAGTGTGGCTGGAGTGTATTTCACAGATGTCTGTGGGAATAGAGACTTGTTCAAGGTCTCTAAAAAGATACCCAACCTCACACTTTATGTCAAGTAAGTGATGTTTCCCTTTCTTGTTAAGTATCAGCCCAATCAGTCTATTTTAAAGCGAGCTTTCAGCTTAACAGTGGATATGTTGGTTATCACTGAGTAAAATAGTTGTTGTTGTTTCTGTTTTTTCCAGTATTGGGGTTGCAACCAAGGCCTTGCACATGTGTGGTGAGTGCTCTACCACTGAGACTCATGCCCCAAGATAGGCTGTTCACACACTCTATTTAATACTGTTAATAATTCAAAGGAGCAACTTAAATATCAGAATAGGTAGCAATTCACTCTGGGAAATTCCACTAGGATAGTTTCCAGGTGTATTTCAAGCTTCATTGTGTGACAGATAAAGATCTTGTGTTGTTAAATGTCCAGTTAAAACCGATTTGAAGATGCAAGTACTGCGATTTGAAGATGCAAGTATCGCTCTTCTGTTCACTCTCATTTGTTTGTTTCTTTTTTGAAACAAGGTTTCTCTGTGTAACAGCCCTGGCTGTTCTGGAACTTTGTAGAGCAAGCTGGCCTGGAACTCACTGAAATCTGCTTGCCTCTGCCTCCTGAATATTGGAATTAAAAGTGTGCAGAAGGTTTTGTACCCAAAGCACTGAGGTCCTGGACAACCTCTTCTGCCCTACCTATACTCACTTCTCTTCACTGACTTGAGAACTGTCTCTTTCCAGGTGTAATGATGAGCTCAAGTATGACCAGCAGCAGCTCCTGGAAGGGATGTCTGAGATGGACATTGGGACAAGGGCAGTCCCCTCCCAGCTGCTGGTACATGGGCAGAGGGCCTTTCCCTTGGGAGTTGACAATTCATTCAATTGTTTTCTTGCAGCTGCCCACTATGGCCGCGGTCGTGTGGTGTTGGGCGGGCATGCACGTTTTATTCTTAATCAAACGATGCTGCCGTTTGTGCTCAATGCTTTGCACTGGCTGATGGGGCATCAAACAGGCAGGATTGGGTTGGCTTCAGAAATGAAAGCACTGAAGTCTATGCTACCAAAAAGCAGCTTCCAGTGGACTGAAACCGAACTTCTGACCAGTGATCTGAGTGTCTTTTGCTGCTGCTCATTCACTGATATAGACGCCAAGAAAGTAGAGGAATTTGTTGCAGAAGGTGGAGGTTTGCTAATTGGCGCAGACGCCTGGCTATGGGGCCGCAGGAACCCAGACTCTAACTGCATGACTGAATACCCAAATAACATCATCCTTAAATGCTTTGGCCTTGGAATCATAAGCCAGATAGTCAATCGAGGATCCTTCCCAGTCCCAAATTCTAAAGTGATAAACTACCACATCCGTACAGCCCTGGCCCAATTTGAGTCCATGATCTACAGCCAGGAGAGCATATTACAAGAGAGATGGCTGGGGAAGCTCCTGAAAGACTGTTCCTACATGTTTCAAATAACACATCAGAGGATTTCTACTTATGACTCTGTGAAGAAACACGCTCTGAAAATCATCCAAAACAAGGGCTTCCCAAGTGTGAGTGAAGAATACCCAATCATAAATGGCAGCTCCCAGGCCTTTCTGCTTTTCCTGGCTTATGAACTATTCAAATCCGGAGTTGACATATCTCAGTTACTTCCTCCTCCCTCCTTACTACCTTCCACAGAATCTCCCATGACCATTAAAATCAGCACAGGTAAGGAATGGAGTGGGGACCCTGGGAATTCAGGACTAGAGAAACAGGGGGCTGGCTAGCATCAGCATTGCTACATGGTGCTTTCTTCTCAAAAGTCCATCTTCCTTCTTTTCTATGAACTTTTATGAAGGTAAGTTGAGGAACACAGGCAGCTTGGGTGGCTAAAGAATGGTCTGGGAGATCTGTCGCTCTGTTGGTAGAGTAGGGACTCTGGGTGAAGGTGAAATCATGAATGGAAAGACTACAACCTTTCTTATGACTCTCATCAGACTACTGCAATTCCTGGGTGAGCACTGGACTCTACTTGCCTGAAGGTCGGGTTGCACAAATGACACTTCCCAGTGAAGCGACTCAAGCCAACCTGAAGGTAAAGCATTTGGCTCCCTGTTAAGTGAACTTTTGACACGCCCGGTGCAGTTTCACGTCCTCTTCTAGTAACTTGTTCGTTCATTTGAGACAGGGTCTCTCTATGTTGCCCTGGCTGTCCTGGAACTCACTGTGTAGGCCAGGCTAGCCTCGAACCCACAGAGATCCTCCTGCCTCTCTTCAGTAACATTTTAGATTCTCCCAACAACCTCACCAGGAATATAGGTCAGAAAACACCACCCTTTATATAGACAAAGACAGTAGTCATTGCAAAGCTGAATCTTGGCACATAACAGAGGCTCAGAAATGCACTTCCTCTTTCCCCTCCCCATCTTGTATTTACTGTCAAAACTTCTCTCACTGGTTTTCTCTCTTGGAGTATCTGAAATACTGTCCAGATGTTTTCCAAGCTTCAGTTCCATAAACCACTTCCATAGTCCTCTCTTGCAGAGACCCGAAGGAAATGGCAGTGTGCTCTCTGAATCAATATTTACCTTGGAACTAATTTTATTTATTTATTTTTTTAAATCCCTAAACTCTACAGAGAACCAAGAGTGGTTATGAACAGGAAAAGGTGCCCTAGAGAAAATGTTTAAGTAGTAGCAATATTCTACTTACACACATGACACTTGTCATTCTGAGGTTCTCTTCTTGCCAACTCTGCCAGGCTTCTTACATACATATACATATACGTACAGAGGGGAGGTGATTCGGTCATTCTCATGATGACTTATGCTCACTATGATAGGTCCTCATTGGTTGCCATACGGACAACGTAAGCGAAGCAAAAGTTTACCACCGTCCCCCTGTGATGACGTATACATACCACTTAGATTCATCTCAGAAGTCCATCTCCTGGCTCTACGGGGGGCTTCTCTACATCATTGTTCCCCCCAAGTACAATCAGGATGATGTGTCTGTCACCATCACTGGGGCTGTGTCTGCTCCATACTTCAGGATAGGTGAGTAGGAGGCTCAGTTTCATAATGGGACACAAAACAGAGGGAAACCTGGAGCAGGAGAAGGGACTTGGCTTGAGAGAAGGCAGTGGAATGATTGGGGAAAGATGAGTCCCAAGACAGAAACTGGGCTAAGAAATATGAACACCCTCTTCTAGGAGGTCTAAAAGGAGCACAAAGAAAGACAAAGTGAGATTTATTACCAAGTTATCTCTCTGTGTGGTCTACAGTTGAAGGGGTACAATTGAAATCCAGAAAAAGTGGTATGTAATCTTTATTTCCAGGTGAGACGACCCAGGAGGAATGGAAGAATCTTATCAAGTACAGCGAAGCTCCCTGGGGAGAACTAGCCACAGACAATATTATCCTAACGATCCCTACGGAAAACCTCATGGTCCTTCAGGACCCATACCCGGTGCTCCAACTCTGGGATGAGATGGTACAGGCTGTAGCCAAGCTGGCAGCCAGGTCCTTCCCTTTTGAAAGACCTGAGAGAGTTGTACTTGACAAACAGATTTCACTTGGTAGGTATTCTATAGGAATGCTCTGAGAGTTGAGCTTCAACTGAACTGACATAATTTTATAGAGCTCAGTGGAGAACATAGTCCATCATCATTTAATCTTAAAAATGCAAATAGTTACAGGACTGTAGGAATGAAAAGCAAAAATCTATAGATTTTTCACGAGTCCTCATGGAAGATAATTGAATAGTCAAAGATGGGTAAGAGAAAAGACAAGAGATGCATACTTAGTAGCTCTCAGCAGAGTCAAGGAGACTTGTTAATGTTGAATAAAACAGGAGAAATAATAGATTGTGTAGGGAACAATGAGAAAACTAATTTGCATCTGCAGACTTTCAAAATGATTCCTCAACATTAAGACTAAACTGGAGGAAAACCTTACTGCTTTCCCTCAGTGTTGGACACCTAGACACAAGACCTCATGACATGCATGCATCACCCATCTAAAAATAGAAAATAATGGATCACATTCCACATACACCCACCCTTCACAGTGAAATGCAGATGAGTGTCAAATTCTGTCCAAGAAAAAGAGAAGAAAGCCTGATGGGCTGCAAATAAGCTTAGGTAGTGAGCAGAGCCAAAGTGAGCTTACTCAGTGTATTTTAGGGCCTCTGGGATAGTGGAGATGCAGTCTACAAAATGTCATTACATGTATCACTTCATCGCTTATTTCCCCTTATTTTCCTCAGGTTTTCTCCATTCTGGATACCCCATCATGGGCTACACTAGTATAGCAAAAGGCATCATTGATGAGGTCACAATCAGGTCACATGGTATTTGGGGTGTGATACATGAGCTGGGCCACAACCAGCAGAAGGGTAAATGGAATTTCCCACCGCACACCAATGAAGCTTTGTGTAATCTCTGGGCTGTTTATGTGCATGAGACTGTTCTAAATATCCACAGGGATCAGGCCCACCCTTCTCTGAATCCTGAACTTCGAAAGCAGAGGATCAAAGATCACCTGTCCAAGGGAGCACCCCTGAGTAACTGGGTTGTATGGACAGCTCTAGAGACTTATCTCCAGGTATGGAACAGATATTCAGGGAGGTGGGAACCACCAGACTCCCTAGTTACCCCAAGATCCATACACAGTGCATGTCCTCCCGAGATATGGGAGAGAGGCAGAGGGTGTCATCTTGCTGTGGGTCAGGAATTGCAAACCTGATGTGGATAATATGTAGATAACTAAATGTGTTTCCTCTTCTCTGCCACATAACTGTGAAAATAAATAAAAGTGTATGGACTCACTATGGGAAATACAGTGCAATTAAATAGCTGTACTCAGAAAATTTGCAGTGAAACTCAGCTTTGCCAAATGCAAATAGTTTCTCCTGACCTACATGTTAGCTTAGGAGAAATTAGTGTCACCCTACTCCAACAATGTATTATGAAGATAGATTGTAGGGACAGTGACCTGGTAACAAGTTATTCAAGATGTTATCTTCTTAAGCAAACATCAAACATGAATGAAGTCAAGAGGCTTCGCTGTAAAATAAATAATGTGCAATATTTTACAGCATTTCAAAATTCTTCCCTTCTATGTCCTTGCCACCTGTGGGAAATACATTGAAAAAAATATTCACATAGTCATATTACATGTTCAAACTTCCAGGGTAACAGAGACGAGCTGCTTGCTGTTGATCTAATTAATTCGTGAAGACAAACCTAGAGCCTAGTTTCAATGTTTGGGCATGAAAGCACTCTGTCTCTGGGCTTTCACTGCCTTTGTGATTTCAATGAGTCTGAGATAACTTCTGGACTACATCAGCTTCCTTCTTAATAAGCAATCTGTCTGAAAATCTACAGGATCCAGTCATGGTGTCAGTCAAAACCTTGTCATTCAAGTTCACTTTAAAGCCCCCTGGGCACAGACTGCTGCTCTGGGGTCTGGGACTGAATTTCTGGCCAGGTAGCTGCCTCCCACCACTATTGATGTTCCACATTCAACATCACAAACAACATTCAATTCTCCAGCATCTTTCACTCCAGTCCTCCAGTACTTTCTTCGCAGTCTCCTTCTCTCTACACTGGATCCCAAATGGACCTATCTTGCAGAATGCTGCCAGAAAACACTTCAAACCTAAAACCCACAATAGCTCTTAGCCCCTTCAGGTAAAGCACCAAACCTCCTCCTTCAGGTTCCAGTTCTCACCTGTTATTCCATCTGCTACAACTACAAACATTTCATCTTCAGAATGGCTCACCATGGTTAATCTTGCCGGCATTTACTAATGATGGGGTTTTTTGTTTGTTTGTTTTTTATTCAAAAGAGTTTTGCCTCCCCCTCTTTTTTTTAAATCAAGAAACACCCATTGAGCTTTTAATATCAGCTTCTTTGGTGCTTCCAGTAAGCCTTCCTTTACAGTATCTATTCCCTGCCCCACGTCCTAATGTGGCTTGTGCGCATGCTTCAGGTATTTGTCTAAGCACGCATGCTCACACAAGCCTCTGCAGCTCCGAAATCCACACGGACCTTCAATAACAGTTGGTTATAGTTAGTGTAAAACATTTCCTAATGACCTAGGCTGTGATCAGAGTTGAGCAAGAGTGAAAGGACCAGCTGGTGCTCATTGAAATGTTTTAACTATTGCTCAAGGCTATTCCTAAGGGTCACAGATTCAAAGATGGCGAGGCAGGAATCTTTGCTTTCTAAACCTGAAGCAGGAGAGTCCCAGCTAGCCATCTTCAGTGTTTAGCTGCACAAGATAAAAGGGTCTAGCTCACCTCAGGCAGATTCAGATCTTCATCATTAAGTTTAGCAGTAACAGTAATAATAACAATGCTGAAATTAACTGCTGCTTACTGAGACCCTGATAGGAATCAAATGAGTAACAACACAAAAATCCCTCTGACATTGTCCTGAGGCAGCTTGAGAAATGGCACCTGTCACAGGGATAGGGTTCTGGAGGAAAAGGGATGAGAGACCCACTGACAGATTAAATCCACAGAACAGGACGGCTTATAACTAAAACCCACAATGTGGTTTCATGCATGTGTTCAGCGGGTGACTTGCAGGTTGCATATGTGATTCTCCTATTTCTTTCTCTTTCCAGCTTCAGGAGAGCTTCGGGTGGGAGTCATTCATCCAGATCTTTGGTGACTACCAAAGCCTCTCGAGCTTTCCCCAAGACAATAAGGGCAAGATGAATCTGTGGGTGAAGAAGTTCTCTGAGGTTGTGAAAAAGAACCTGGCCCCTTTCTTTGAAGCCTGGGGCTGGCCTGTCCAGAGTGATGTGGCTGAAAGCCTGGCCTCTTTGCCAGAGTGGCAGGAAAACCCCATGAAGATGTATGCAGACGATGGTACAGAAAGAAGAAACAACTGAAGCTCTATCTGGGAAAAGATCATTTATTGGATGCAAGAGAAAAATCCTCATGATTCAATAGAATTCAATTTTAGGGACCCCCCCCACTTCAGTCATCAGAATCATCTTAATCTTCATCATTTTTTGCAAGGCATTGATTCAGTTAGACAATGACTTCAAAAATTTGCAATAGAGATGGCTCAATCTGTTGCTTCTAGATCAATTTCAAGCTATTTGATTTGTCTCTTGACCTTCCTGTTTAGCATTTTTCATGCCCTCTGTGTGTTTACAGAAGCTGCTCAAATCCAGAGACTTAACTGAAGAACTATCCTGTGTTGGTTCCACTGGGAGGATCTTTGTTCTAGTCCTAAAATTCATGCACAGTTATCATTTGTCTGAGTGGTTTGAACAGAGCGGGTGATCAACAAATGCTTTGTCAATACAAATGATTGTTGTGTTTGAGAGTTCACTTGCTTAGCCCAGGCTAACCTTTGTGCTACAGCAAAACTACCACTTATGAACTGTCACAGGCAGACTCTGCTTCAAGTTCATGTGTTACTGGAAGTTAAAGTCTTTATAAAACAGGCTAATATGTACACACACACACACACACACACACACACACACACACACACACACATTGAAATATATTCCATATATATAACAGGCTGATATATATTTTTCATGGAGATATATTCCATTAAGGCAGTGGGTGATACTGATTCATACATATGAATATACATACATCTTTACAATATAACTGAGAATTATTCCCTTAGCACAGATTTTCTCTCTTAGCATGTGGATTTTTACCACAAATAAATAACCTCACCTCGTCCACACAGTGGCCACACAGCCTACCGAATATCAGACTTTATTTATTTGGAAAATAACTGAACAATTTGCTGTAAATTATATCTGATATCCTAAAAAAGTTTGTATTGATATCAGAGATAGACTAAGGCCAAGGTTTGTGACATACAAACCGCAAAATCTAGGCAAGATATTCTGCAGTTTGAAGTCAGAAACTTATGCTAGATTCCTGTGTTGAAGGATCAGTGTCTTTGCAACTCCACGGTGCATAAACATTGCTAAACTGTGTACATAAATATAGCTTTCAGAACACATGAGGAAACCCAAATTTCAAAGTCGCCAAGGAGTGATAAAGCAGAATTTAAAATAGATCATTAGGGTTGGGGAGATGGTTCCGCAGTTAAAGCACTTACCACACAAGCAAGAGGGCTAGAGTGGGGTCCCCAGAGCCCACAGAAGTGTCAGGTGGGTGGAGTGGCCCATCTGCCACCTCAGTTTTAGTAGACAGAGAGAGAAGATCCTTAGAGCAAGTTGGACAGCAAAAGTAGCCTTATCAGGCAAGCTTAGGGTTTAATTGGGAGACTCTGCCTTAAAGAATAAAGGTAGAAGGAAAATGGGAAAGATTCCTGACATCAACCTATGCCCTCCACACTCATGTGCACACATACACACACTCATGCACACACGTGGGACACACATATGAAAAATGAAAAATAAGTAAAATAGATCATGGGATTTAGCTCCACTGCCCTTATCCAAAAGTATAATCTATCATAGCTGTTCTCTTCATAATGCCAGGGACCCAGGGGATGCTAAAAGAGATATGTATATAGGAATTCTTTATGTTTCCATCTGTTTTGTGAAATTTCCTATGGAGAGTGCCTTTCATTTCTGCATGATGGAAATGGGTGGTCAATCAAGAGCTCCTAATACCCCATCACAAAAGCAGGCATGAATCCATGGATGGTCAACCACAGCTCTCAACTTGCTGGACCCAGTAACTTTCCTACATCTGCTCACAGATTTAAGTAGACTAGCCAATCACTGCCCTTTTCTAATGAGTCACAAAAACATAGTTAGGAAATAATTTCTTCCTGAAATCATGGTTTCTATGAATCATATAAGCCTAAAATTGTCTTATAATAGCACTATATTTACACAAACAGGACTTATGGATAAGAAAAAGATGAGTTATCAAACATAAAGAACTATGTCTCCAAGGATATTTTTTCAAGAATCTTGATTTAATAGTGACTCAAGCTCCATGACAGGACTCAAAGTATCTTGTTTCCTAAGTCAATAAAGTGCTGCCTTTGCTTCTGCTGATTTGAATTTCTTTCACCTGTCATCAGAAAAACCAAAGTAAAATATTGTCCCTTTATTCCAGTACCCCTCAGCCTGCTGCTTGAGAAGAATGGCACCTGGCTTCTTTCACAGAACCTTCTGTGGAATATGCTGTCCTGGTTCTACATATATTTTTTTTTAACTCATAATAGCTGGGCTCCAGCATGTGAATGAAGATGCTTAAACACAAGTTAATTTAATTCTGATGGTAAAGTTGGCCAAGGATCACCAAGAGTATCATTTATTCTCCTCATTGTTGTGACTGAATATCGCACAGGAGTAACTCAAAGGGGGAGAGGTATAATTTTGTTCATGACTTAAGAGAATATAGTTCTTCGTGTCAAGGAAGGTATGGTGGTGCCTGGAATTGCAGGAGCTTGCTATCTATGTTGTTTATATCTCAGCAAAGCAGGAAGCAGAGAAAACAGGAAGTAGAAGTAGACTATAGCCCGCAAGGTCCATGCTATCCCCAGTAGCCTATGTCTTCTAGGTAGATCCAAAAGTCCCAAACCCTCCCAGAAACAGCGCCATCAGCTGTGGGGCAAGTGTTCAAACACATGAGCCTGTGGAGAGCACATCTATATCCATATTTTTGGAGTCTGGGATGTAGCTCAGTGGTACTCACTTGCTTAACGTGAAAGGATCAAGGGATGGGTGGGATCAAACCTAGGGCCTGGAGCATGTTAGACAAGTGAATACCACTGAGCTACACCCCCAAGATTCCGTCTTAGAAGAGAATATATGTCCAGCTATGTATGATAACTAGGTACGTTGTTTATCTGTAGTCACACCATGTATCTGTGAAATACTTTTCATCACTCTTACAATTGTCTCGTTACTTTCTCTTACCAGACAGTCCATTTCAGTAAGGCAAGGGTGACGCCTATATTTCTCAAAGTTGATTCTTCAATATATAACACAATACCAAACACATAAGAAAGCTTTCTGTAGGTACTTATGGGCTATATAAAATTGTAGAAGACTAATTAAGGATGCCAAACTCTTGTCCTTATTTAAAAAAAACTTCTATTTTATGAAATGCAAAGAGATCTTTACAAGGAAATCACAATACCACTTTAATTTTTCTCCTATTCTCTTCTACCTAGTAACAGGCAATGTAAGTTTTGATTCTATTGATGCTCAGATGCAGGATGACAAAGAATATTTCACTGATCTACCCTTTCCCAATTTCCATACGCAAGAGTTAGTTCTTATGAGAATGGCTTCAGCAATGTTTTGTAGGAGATGAAAACGGAAACTTCCAAGAAAAACAATCAACTTTTGAATACACTCCCTAGTCTTCACGTTTCAGGGCCTCTGCGTTCCTTCTTGCCGCCCTGTTTCTGTTCTCTGTCCACTTGAATCTCATTCAACATTAACTTTGAAGAAGCTCTTCTTTCCTCTAGAGATTACTGTCAACCCCTCTCCGACTGTGTGTTCTTGAACTATGCTTTATGAACTTTGCTATAGGTTGGGAGGAGCCCCACATTTTTGCGAGCTGAGAAACTGGGGCCCTTTCTTGTCTCTCCTCCAGATGGCGCACTAAGCCCAGGCTGAAACTTCAGCGGCACTCCCACCCCTGGCCGCCCCAGCCTCAGATTGAAGAAAAAAAACGAGATCTTTTGTAAAAATTCTATCACCGTGTTGGAAAAGCAGAAGAAAGAGGCGCCAAGAAACCAAAATCCTTCCCCAAGCAAGAAGCTACAAAGAACAGGAATAACCATGAAAGGTCTCTAAAGCACAGAAAAAAAGAGGGCGGCATGCTGCTGAGGGAAAAAGATATCAGTGGTCACATCAAGAGCTAGATATCGCATGCTGCAGGCAAGGTGAACCTACTGGTGTGGCAGTGAGGGCAAATGAACACTCTCTTGATCGGATCTGAGACCAGCAGCGCAGGAGGACTCCTGCCTGGCATTTTAAACATGGTCGGTCAAAACCCATGCCTAGGGAAGTCATGGGCCCTGGCGGAGAATATAATATTTTTCTAAATAGCCATGTTGTCAAATGCCTTCTAAATATTTCTGTTTCTGCCCATAGCTTCTTCCAACCTTGCTCAGAGAAGCTCCTATTGTAGTGGGTAGTGGCTAGTGCAAAGAGGCATTACTGTTCAAAGTGCTTAGGGTTAGTGACTGTTTGTGTTCACCTGAATCAACCCTTCCACCCCAAGGCTCAGGAAACAACATGGAATGGGGTATGGAAAGAATGTAAGTGCCAGAAGATGAGGGGCATTGTGGCACGCTATCCTCTGGACAGGGCATGGCTTTTGCACGCATGCTCAAAGCACCTGTGGTTACCTACAAGAAACTTGCATGGGATCAAACCAGCTAAAACTTGGTAACTGCGGAGCTACTGAAAGTGGAGGGAGGGAGGAAGTTGAAGCAGTTGCTGAGGGAGGGAGAATGTGACCACTGCTAATTTCTCCATTCGGAATGACTCCACGCCCATGCGCACAAGGGAAAGGCTATTGGGACTCTGTAGGTTAAAAACAAATTACAAACCACAACAGGAGGTCATGAAGTTGGGCGGGAGATGTCTATCCTGGGAGAAGTTGGAGAGGGAGCTTGAGAAGTAGATATGCTCAAGACACGTTGTATGTATGTATGTATGGAAGATTCAAACAATAAATAAAATTTAAAATAAAAAAAACTGCAGAGAAACTAGGTAGGAGAAGCAGGAGAGGTCTCAAGAATGTAACTATGGCACCATTTTTATATATCTACACAGTCACAGAATTTATAAATTACAAAGAAAAACATTCTATTTTTGTTAAGTTTGTGGCACGCTATCCTCTGGACAGGGCATGGCTTTTGCACGCATGCTCAAAAAAAAATTAATGTTTACATTTTTCTACAGAAATTATCTGA